GGGGAGGCGCAGCATGCCAGCGTGCCTCCCTCCCCGCCCCACCCACATCTGCCACCCTCCCAAAGGGAGGACTTACGAGGACGAATGAAACCCTGGAGGGGACAGAGGTCACCCCTCCAAGGGGTACATCTAAGAGGACACATGGAACCCTGAAGGGGACCAATTACACTGCTGTTAGGAGTACAGATGAACCCTGAACGAGGACGATAACACTGCTGTTAAGAGTACACATGGAACCCGGAAGGGGACTGAAGGTACCCCTCACAGGGGTAACTCAGGGTGTACCCCTTGTTGGGGTGCGGTAGCCAGCCTAATGAGGACAATCCAGCCTAAGGAGGACACTTGCACCCCATCAAGGGGTACACCCCGATTTACCCTTTGGACGGAAACATTTGTCCTCTTTAAACAACAGTGCACCCCCCCTCGCAGGGGGACGACCCCAAATTGTACCCTTTGGCTTTTACAGTGTAGATCTTGATTCAGAATGTGTTGTTTTAGGGGGGTACTGCCTCTGACATTTTACGATTGGACGCCTCCTTGTACGTCTTTCCGTGAATCGTGTCAATTTCCACCGTATTTTCGTCGAAAAAAGCACTCTAGTGCCCAAACGGTGCAAAATAGACTCAAACGGACAAAATTTTCGTTCAAAGGGCTTACTTTTACGAGGTACCCCTTCTTAGACCATAATTTTTTTCCAACTTTTTGCACTAACCCCTATATCTTTCTCACCCCCTTTTACCTCCTTAGGGGTGGTTGACAGGATTTGCCGTAGGCATTTCATTTTCAGGGAGTGAACCTACAGATTTTCTGAAATTTTCAGACCTCTAGCTCATCTGCTTCTTCTTACACGCACGACGGACTCACGGGCACGAGAGCGGTTGCATAAGCCCGCTTTACTCCTTTTTTAAAAGCAGAAGGGTGGGCTTAAAAAAACCTGCCGAGACATTTTTGAACAAATCGTGTTCAAAGTTCAAATGTTGACAATTTTTTGAAGTTTATTTACGACATAACTAGTAGTCGGATCGTTCTGTGGTTAGAACTGCACGGGAAAAAAACTTTGTTTTGGGGATCAGTTCTGTTTGGTGGGCTAAATTTGATAACTGGAATTGAGAATCCGATACTCACAAGCAAGAGCTGGTTGTCACGACCGGACACTTGTACGAAGAGAACCAAGCTTGAGTTTGTTCTCTTCGTACATGTTCGGGCGTGGCGACCAACACTTGGTTGTAGGTATCGGATTTTCGATTCGATTCCAGCTATCGAATGTATCCTACCAAACATAACTGATCCTCACAACGAAGTAATTTTTTACGTGCGTTCCATGCGTATTGATCCACCCTTCCAGAATACGTTTAGTTTATTGAGGTTTTGTTCCAAATTCTCCATGTTTCGAGCCCGAAACCGCCCGAAACGTAAGTTTAAAGTATGTACTACTACTAAATTAATTGCTGATTGCATTGCTTAATGCGTAGAACAACATATCCAAAGACGAAAAAAAAATACCGAGCCGGTTTTGAGCAAACTCGAGAAAATTCGAACTTTGATCAATGTTTCCAAATCAATTTACTCCCGATGTGCCCCTTGAATTCGATAGACCTTGAGCGTGTTTAATGTGGAACGCTCGAACTTTTCGAATAATATACAATTTGTCTAAGTTTAGTACCATATTTCACGTAATAGTGACCCAAAACCTATTTTTTTCTCATTTTGAACCTGTTTAAAGTTCGGTTTTCTTGAATTTGTTATTGATTCACACTCGGGAAAGCAAAATTGTTTTTCCAAAGTGTTAGATAGCTGTCTGATCTACAAATGTTATTCACTGATGATATTGATATATTTTATCAGTTAAGAGCTAGGTAGAATAAAACAAATCCAAAGACGTCTGGCTGGAAGTCGGTGTGTGGGTTGCCTATCAACGCCTTACGGTGACCTTCCACAGAGTTGTCGCAGACAAGCGGCGCATTGCACTCTTAAGATCGATAAAGCTCGTCAGCAAATATTGCTATCGAAATGAAGGAAAAGTCCTCTCTGTAGAAATAAATTGCGAGCTACAACGTTTATGAGGACATTTTTAGTCGAATTCGTTTTTTTTTTACTCGTGTAACCGATAAAATGGAAAGTTGAATTTTGTCAAAACCAGCAAAACCTAGTTTTCGGGCTCATAACATGGTGAATTTGGAACAAAACTCAACAAATTAAACATATTCTGAAAGGGTAGATCAATAAGAATAGAATGGTTATAACCACAAACTAATCCGATCACTAGTTAGATCGTAAATTATCTTCAAAAATTTGTCAATTATTTGAACATTGAAACTTCAAACTTTGAACTTCATCTTTGGATATGTTGTTCTACTCGTCGAGCTCTACAAAGACCACCAGGTCCCATTTCGCCCGCAATTTGTTCCTACTTAAATCGGTTGTGTACTGGATTACACTAACTACATATTTTGGGAAGTATTTTTTGAAAATGTTGAAAATGGTCTTTAGAAAACTAGAAAATATACCTTTCCTAGTTAGTTTTCAAAATATACCCGACAGATAACCATTTCGTCAGTAACCATGTTCCGTAAAAGCGCAGATACTTACTCAGAAATAAATCAGTATAGGTCTCAGAGTGGGCTTTCGGCAAGATATGCTGAAATTGCGGCCGCTGGTTGAAGAGTTAAATCCAAAAAGAAGGTCGGACTTATGAAATTTCTTTCGAAAAGTTGTCTTTTTATTTAATGACACGTTTTGTGAAATCACGGCTAACTGATAACGGCTTTCTTCTACAGCACGCCTGTGTACTGTGTACTGTACAGTGTGTGGTTTGTGTAATGCAAGGAGCATTGCAGCGTGACAGCGCTCCGTGCGAAATTGCGAAACCTGTTACCGTAGACGGGGTCTGGCGTACGTCTACGGTTCTAACTCACTAACATTTCGATGTATGATGCAATGATCGCCATCGTCACACACTCTTTTGTGAGTGGGAGTTTGACAGGCAGTTGGTTTTATCCGAATCCAACAATCGTACGCTAAGTCGAAGTTCATGAACTCCGGGTGAAGTAAGGCTGAAGTTCACTGAAGTTTGCTCTGCTAATCCAAGTGTTGAAGAATTTGACGGTTACAACTACGAAACTCTACTCTTGAAACTCCAATATTTTAGCCATGAGAGGATTTTTGCTCCGAGGTTGGCATTTTTTTCTTCTTTATATTCTCTTAAAAAAAGCCCACATGTAATAGGGTTGCGATTTAAATTAAGACAGATATGCAATAAGAAATGAATGTATGGAAATTTATGAAAAGAAAGCATACTTGCCTTAATGTAAATCGCAACCATATCATATCACATGTACGCTCGAGACTTTGAGGGTGAAGAAGATGGCACTCTACGTTTATGGTTAGAAAATTGCAGTTTTTAGCGTAGAACTCTTGAGTTTCGCAGTTGTAACCGTCAACTTGTTTAACACTTTACCGAAGTTAAAAACAAATATAAAAGTGAAACGTCAAAATTACCTAAAGTTTGAATAACCGTGGAGTTAACGAAACATCATTAAGGGGGCAGACCTGTGAAACACAAGGCTTTGGGGAAAAATTTATTTAAAAAAAAAACGGGGCGACTCAGAGGTTTAGTACTGCGCGTATATATAAAGTAAAGATGGCCCCAAAATTTGGCCACTGAGCGGTGCCGACCCCTTCACAAACATGGCCAGCATGGCCTTGAACTGGAGCCGATGTAGGTCTTTGCGGTGTACACGATTGTAAATGAACCGTTGGATTTGCAACAGTGAAAAAAAATGCTAGATTCTCTTAAAACATGTATCTAGGATCTGACAGGAGGACTTTTTGAAATTCCACTCCGAAATACTTGAATAAACTGAGTACAAAAAAATGGGTAAAAATTTGGGTACTTTTTCCCTGGTTTGGGTACCTTGCAATTGAGTTATAAAAAATCGCACTTGTCAGATCCTGGGCACATAAATGGACAACATTCGGGCCAAATATTAAGTCGATAGCTCCAAAACTACGGCCTGGATGTTTCACACCGTTTGCAAAAAGTCATTCCGAGAAAAACGAGGTTAAAGTTTTCAGTGCCTATGTACAGCGACGAACCAAAAACTAACTGAACTGGACCTAAAAGATTTCGGGGCTCTAGAGGACTCCTTCCTCGTCGTGTATCCTGTCCTGAGCGGCCAGGCGAGCCCTAGCGGTCCAGCCACCCGGCCACTCGAAGCACGTTTTTCTCTCTCCTGAGCCCAATTTTTCGAATTTCAACATCCGCTTTGCGGCATTAGAAAGAGGAAAGATCACAGAATTTTTTGAGGCATTGAAAAAAAAATTGATGATTTTCACAGGTCTGCCCCCTTAAATGTTGCAAGGTAATGAAGAAAATATCTACGGCTGAACGTTTTGGGTACTAACTATAAGCGACTTCCCATCTTACTCCAAATTGATATCTACAGATCGAACTACAAAGATTATGGACGAGAGATATTTGCTTTTATAGCTCACAATCAGGCCGAACTTTGTAAATTGCGATCGAAGTTCACCGAATTTCAATTATGTTCACTGAAATTCACTGATGTTTACCGAAGTTTTTGCCTATTTCCGCTTGATTCGAAGATTCGATTCCAGCTATCGAATGTATCCTACCAAACATAACTGATCCTCACAACGAAGTAATTTTTTACGTGCGTTCCATGCGTATTGATCCACC